GGGCACAGAGACCGAGGAGAGTTTGGGGGCGTCTGACTCCACCCAGAGGCCAGCAGATTCCCAGACACCCAGCTGTAAGATCCAGGAAACCTTGTCAAATGCACATACGTAGATCTACCTCAGTCCCTCCCTATGCGCTCACAAACTGTCCCGCCATCCATTTAGTTATCTGACACGATGACTGAGAAAGTTGTAATATGTTGTTGTCTGTCTGAAGGGAAGAGTGGTACAAGTGGTAGCCAAAATAAAGGTCATTCCCAACTAAAAAGGCACATAAAGGTTGGTCTACTTGGAAAATGAATCAAATGATTCAAGATAATTTGTTCATGTTGTAGCCCTATATAGCTGTTTTTAAGCATAAAACACACAAATTGAGTGCCTTAGGCTTTTTAAAATGAGAAAAATATAAAATACTGGTTTCATTAGTAAACCAGACAGATTCTCAGATCTAATAAAATATTTATTTACATTTGAAACACAAACAATTTCGGATTAAAGAATAGAAAAAACAAACCATTAATAATCACTCCCAGTAAAACAGTACAGTAGAGAACAATATAACTTAACTGAAAGTTTATAGTTCAGTTTATAGCTGCTACTATAACACCTTTTTATTTACTTTTAAGTATTTATAAACTTAAAAGCACTGTTCATGAGTCCCTTCTTTAGTCCTTAACATAGTGAGTCAGTGTTTGGAGTAGCCTTTGTTCCCTCTACAATGTTCAGCAGGATTTCTTCTGAATTATACCACCAGGTATTAATCCCAGGTACACAATCTGAGAGTCTTGTAACATAAAATTTCCTGATGGCTCTGAATAACTGTCCCAGAATGTTTGTATTCTTATACTTGACCCAGAAACATGTAAGTGACTTGCATTCATCTCCCCACACAACTGTTGATATTTCTTTATGTGGGGTGTTATAAAAAAAAAGCAGCAGATTAAATTCTTCCATCTGAATTTCCTCCATCTTTTAGAGCTTGTTGCATTCTGCTCACTCTTCAACAGTTTAATGTTCAATTACAGTTCCCATTTCAGTTTTACTTATAATGAATTTCTTCCGTTTCCTTTTTGTAATCCACTGTGCAGTTTAAAAACAATCTTTGAAGGGCTTCGTTTGTATGCAACTGTTAATCCTACAATCACTTCACTACATACTGCTGAAATTCTTTTTTTTTTTTATTTCTATATCAGAAATGTCTCAGCTGTAAATATCTGAACAGATCCCCGTTTTCTAAAATTAAATTCTCCTTTGAGTTTTTCAAAAGTCTTCCCCTCTATGAGTGTACATACAGTTGTTATTCCTTTTTCTCTCCACCTTACAAATGTATTATCCATCTATCTCTCCAGATCAGAAGTTAAATGTCTCCTTACAATTTGTATTTTCTGATCTCAATCAATATTCTCAGTGAATCTTAGATGAAATGTTCTCCCTTTTGGTCTGTATATTCTTCTCCACCTAAAACACGACCTATAGTTTTTATAGTTGTCCTTTTTTAATTGTTTTTTAAATGTTCAAATTGTGCCACACACTTTCAGTTCCTCTACAGCTGTTCCATATATTCACCCCTTTAAGAGAATTACAATTATTTATTCTCTCATTAACTTTTTTTTACCTTAAACATGAGTTGTAGTATTTCAAATTCTTCCAAGTCTCAGAATTTCAGTGCCTATTAATAATTTAATGAAAAGTGGGTTAGTTGGTCTTTGATAAGTAGTTTTGTTCACAATGGGCCGCTGTTTATTTGAGCATTTCCACTATTGTTTTAGTCGAGGGCAGCACAATGGAGGCCTTCTCAGCAGAACAACCTATCACAAGCTCTGGTACAAGGATGCCCCAGTCGCCACGGAGACCATCACATCAGCTGCCCCCTCGCTTGAACATCCACACCGCCCTGACATCAGAACTGGGACCACCTGCTCAGGTTCAGGTATGAAGAGTAATCTGTCCTTTAGTAAGGAAAGGAAAACTCATTTTTTTAGTATTAACCTTTTTAATATTATCTCTATCTGTAGATCACATGCACAGCTAACCAATTTTTAACGTTACTTCACAGCGTATCCCTGTTCGTCGAGTCCCTCAGCTCACTCCTGGGGTGTCAGCCAGCGCTGTAAGTCCTCCTATAATTAGAATTTACAGTAACTACATTTACATTTTACTACTGTGTTTGTGTGCATGTTTGCGTCCAACATTTTCTGCTTTTTCTCTCTCTGCAGCAGCATTTCTTTGATGAGGATGACAGGATGGTTCCCAGCACTCCCACTCTGCCTCATCGCTCTGATGGTTGTGACCAGGCCATCCAGTAAGTTTCACACGTACGCAGACCAGAAAGTCAGAATGTCTGGGGAAACTCATGATGCAGTACATGATCTCACATATTATGATTTAGTATGGTCATATAATATGAATACAAATACTTGTGGTCCACAATGTGGAAATTTGGTTTCACCATAAGACACAACTCACTATACACTGTACACAATATCACATTAACCTACCATGCAAATAACTGAGAGCAAAGTCAGGAGCACCACTCTGTGTCCTAGTCTACTGGATCCTACTTTCATTTATTATCTTTTATATGACTTTAAAATGTATTCAGACCTCTAAGTTATAGTCTTGAACAATTATATATTTTGAAATGTTTAGAGTTGGAGGCTTGCATGTATATTTCGATATTTGTATAAATAGAAAACTGTGGTAAAAATAACCTAAAATACTTTATGGCACTGGATAACTGTGTGTGTGTTTGTCAGTTCTCCCCATGTGGCAGGTGTGTCTCGCTTCAGGTTTGGTCTTTCAGACGACATGCCACAGACCAGCTCGTCCTCGCACTCTGACCTTGGACAGCTCGCATCACAAGGAGGTACTCCACCTCCACCACGTCATGTAGAGTAACAGCTTATGTAAAAACAGCATTAAACACAACACAAACAACTTTTTTTTTTTCTTGTCTTCAGGCCTTGGTATGTATGAAAGCTCCTTGTTCTTAGCAACTCACGAAGAGGAGTCTGGTGGACGCAGCGTTCCCACTACACCGTTACAAGTTTCAGCACCAGGTATCCGTCTCTCTGTCAGTCTGAGATCTGTTTTGTTTATCTATGCACCCACCCGTTTCATCAACATACTCAACATCTGAAAATAATTTTCAGATTTGGGAGCATCGTCAGAACAACATCAATCAGTGTGTCTTTATCTTGTTTTTATGTTCTTCTCTTCCAGTAACTGTCTTCTCAGAGGACACCACTGAGCACGCCTCTCAGTCGGTTCCCATGGTGAGCACGTCCACACCGGGCCTGGTTGTGCCAGGAGCAGCCAGCACAGGGGAGGAGAGAGACAACATCTTCCTGGAGCCAGACACTGATAGGTGAGGCTCACTTCTCTCAGCTGTTTGTGTTTTCATGTGTCTGGGTTTTTTTTTTGGCTGCTGTTTAAATTGAGACCTCTGGCTCTCCAGTCAGCTGGCTTTCCTCTGCCCTTCAACTGCAACAGTCATTATTTATTGCCATGCACACTTCAAGACTGATACAAAATGTGACCCTTTCCTTATTCGCTATAAATCTGTTTCTCTCTCTCCCGCTGTTAATAACGATAGCTGAGTCTAGGGAGTGCAGCGGATCACAAAACTCACAGTTCGGATTGTACCACAGTTTACAGTCACAGATTGGTCTCACTCCAATATCTGATTGGTTTCTACGTCATGAGTAATAGCCTTTCAACACTGACGCTGCTGTGCCCCAGGCAGAGACTGTAGCTGCTCCAGTGAGCAGAGCTGTTTGTTAAGGGGAAGGCTGCAGTTACAATAAACATAATTTTATTATCCATTTCTACAACGACAAGCATGTCCAGTTTCCCACTTACAGCACTGAGAAGTCACAGCCTACAGGATTTCACTGAATTGAGTCGAAAGCTTCTAAAACAGTTGTTTTTTATTGCAATTCAGTGAGACAGCATGCATCTGTCTTGTTGACCTTTTCACATTGAGATTTAGGGAATTATTACTTTACAAGTAACAGCAGCAGTGAAAGTGTAGGTTTAAATTTGGTCCACAGTTCACGTGCATGTCGAATTGTGCTGGGAAGTCTGTACAGATCAGGGATCAACTGTGATCCATTGCACCAATAGCTGAATCAAATATAAAACTCTACTGAAAGTTAGCAGGTTTATAAAAAGTGCCTTGTTGATTTTTGTGATCTTTCATTCATGTTTTTCAGCTGATTTTAAGACTGCAGGACTATATAATTTGATCAGATCCCATGCATGTTGTATGTTGGTTTGTTTATTCCAGGTCCAGTGCAGAAGTGTCAGTGGAACCAGTGGTCTCACAGGGGGATATAGAGGAGCCAAGTCAGCCATCTGACAAGGCCAGCCCCTCCACTAGCCAGGAGCCCTCCTCCAGCTCTGCAGGTACAGTGTAGCCACATGACTATTCAGATCCCTGCTGTAAATTACTATTTTTATCATTTAATCTCTCATTGTGTGTCCTAATTAGTGTTGAGTTCTGACTGTGCTGCGTTTTTTTTTTTTTTCTAGATACAAGCAGTGCTCCACCTAGACCCTCTAGACCTGGAACCAGCAGACAATTGCAGCGCTGGCCAGAAAACCGTGGTGGCCGCATGAAGAGAGGTAACATATGAAAGTACTCACACAAATTGGGTAGTAAGGCAGCTAATGTTGCTCATTACTGTGAAACTGTTCAGGCTCTCGTTAGCTCTGTGCTCACTTAATCCATTGCTCATTTTCAGGCTAATACAACAAGGTGTTTAAAATTCATAAAGAGCATTTAATTCTCTTCAAAGTCTATCTGGCTAATTGTGTATTTGCAACAAAAGTATTGCAAATGGATTATAAGCATTTGTTTATGATGATTGAAAGCAAGAGTAACAAAATTATGCTGTAAAGTTCATGTATTGCAAGAGAATAATTATTTTCTGCTACAATACAGAAACAAAATCAGTAAACCTGGTAGTATCACTCTGATTTATCTTCCATACACACACTTTTGAAACAATATTGTAATTTATTGTAAGTCAAATATAAAATTGCAGATTTCCAGTTTGATGTTTCAGACTTGTAAAAAAAAAAAAACACAACTTTGAATAATAAAATACAATATTAACAACAGTCATAATGTGAACTTAAATCCTGGCAAAGCATTTGTTTCATTGTAATTACCAGTCATTGCAGTTAATATATGTTGGTGTATAATAATTCAGTTTGATGTTGAGAAAAATAACAGAGGAAATACTTTCATTCTTCTCATTCTTTTATATTTCATACACATTTTATACAGCCACTGTACAGAATCTTTACATCAGTATAGCAGGCTATGTTTTAAAAAAAAAAAATGTATATCTCAACAGGTCAAGGATTTCCTCCTCGGGGTGTCCATGGAAGACGTTTCGCCAGATGAAGCACTAATGAGAAAACCTGACAACCATTATCGGATAACTTTTCATTCCCGTCAGAAACACATTTTCCAATCATAGAGTTCAGATTCTGTATTCAGACTCGATAATGTTGTTGTTCTGAAGCTTGTTGTTTTTGGTTTCATTTTGAATGTGCTTGTAAAGTACCTATTTTTTAATGAGTCTATGCTGAAGCAGTGTGTTTTATGAAGAATGTAATAAACTATTAGAAAAACACAACTCTCTCTGATCAGACTTTCTTTGGGCATTTGAAGATGTTGTTGCTCTGAGGTGGCGTGTTGGCTGGAGGAGCTGCAATGACAGGACGTTCACCATCCACCCTTACGTTGTAGGATTTGGCTGCAAAACACAGAATGGTTGATTAGTTAATTAAGCATTTTAAAATATGCATGGTATTGAAGATGTACTTTTTATCCGTGTTCCTGCCAGTTTCCCTTTTAGTGGACATGAATTTGGCAGGATTTTATGCGTCTTCAAGCAGGCCTGTCTTCAGCTTTTGGCTACAGCAGGACATTAATTTTAAAAGCAGTAGTGTGTCTTCAGTGACATAAATGACTAGACAGACTCCTGGCGTGAGACATCTACTTTAGATTTTAAACTGAGTGAAATATTTTCCTCAGGAACTACAGCATTCTTTAAACTATAGGTACCATCATCAAAATGGGAACTTTTACTGTGGTTTCTCCATAATAAACTCGAGCCATAGGTGAATGGAAACCGCCCTTAATGACCTTTACATCTGCCTAGTCCCCCACCCCACCCTGACACACACACCCAGACACACATGGTCCTCGTTAGGCATTTCAGACATCATGTGAATGAGTAACAAATGTCTTATTGCGGGCAGAAAAGTGAAGGAGCTTTTGTTCTTTTGAAGATATTATGAACAGAGAAATGAAGGAAGCGGTATTTAAGGAGTTGGGAGTTCAATTCTTCTGGGATCTTGATTTCAAAACCTTTGTGCTAGAAGGAGTTTAAACTAAATCTGCTCCCTAACCAAGAAATAACTACAGCACTGGTATGAACTGCAGACTTACATCTTGAGAAGACGTAGTATTTGTATCCTTCTGGCTCTCTGTTGCTTGGGACGGACACAGCAGCAGTGACGGTGGTGGGGAAACCTCTCCAAGACGTCCGGATGTTGACGGTTGGCCCCAGAAGAGACACTGAAAAGAAAAACAGTTGAGTGTAAAATTTGTGGATTTCATAGTGTTTTTATTTTTATTTTTTTAAATATATCTTTCTGTTTCTGCATTCCCATGACCAGAACACAGGTCAATTCATTTCCACTTTGCCAATTATTTACAAGATGGACCTTGCTGCCCCTCTCACCCCCACAAAAGCATGACTCACTTACAACTACATGTGTGTGTAACTCAAATAAAAACATGTTTACGTGAGTTTAAGTTAAATCTGTTAAAATGCTCAGCAAATACCCAGTACACTCACCACAGTTACATCAATACAGGACCACACAAATGAGAAAAATATAATGCTTTGGTTAAGGTGAGTGGCACAAATCAGAGATTTCTACTCATATTTGAGTTTTTCTTTTTCGTTTGGTCCAAATCAGATTACAGGTCTGATGTTTTGCAATGTGACCTCAGTGTGAGCAGTCGTATAAATTGCTGTGACTTTTACGTCACTCTAGATCAACATTAATCATGCGAGGTACTTCGGGACAGTGACCTGTTCACACAGGATTCTGACATAGGCCACATTTTAAAAATCAGCCAAACAAAAAATAAAGCTTGCAGTGTGAACATGTAACACAAGTTAAAAATATTCCTTGTCCCGTATAGTTACCTGCTTGTCGAACAATTCGGTTGCGGACTGTGTAAGTGGCATGCTGGACTTTCCTGCCACATGTTGGACTGGTGCCAAACTGGTATGAATATTTCTGGACCGATCCCCCTGGAAGAACCATGTGCATATGAGTATTTAATGAATAAAAGTTTTACACTAAAAAGACAAAAATACAATAACACAGAAGCAGTTCATCACCTCTCTTGAAGAAGTAAACAGACTCCCTCCTCCTCTGGTATTGAGGCACAGACAGAGCAGCTGTGATGTGGCCCCGAAGTCCATCAAAGCCTGTTTCAATCACCTTTGGGTATCCAGTGTCCAAAACATCATTTTCAAATCTCCAGTATTGGGGTCCCTGCAAAGATCACAAACCAAAATGTTAAATGCTCGGGCAACTAATTCCTGATATAGTGCAAATGGTCACATCCATGAAATCCCTCAAATTCAGGTTTGTCAAATACCGTCATGGGTTCGTATTAGATAAGTTTATTTACCCTGAAAATGTAGGTTTTGCCCTGACAGTTGCAGCGGGTGAACACAGTGTCAATGGGGGAAGGGACGCCCCACACCTGTGTGATGCCACGAGCCGGACCAGGCAACCTGTTTGTGCCCAGAAACCAGAAGTAGTGCCCTGAAAGACAAAGTTGTTACATAAGGTGGTCAATTACTATCAGAGTAATTTCAAAGTCTGTTCTAATTTTTTTTGTCAATTATATATTTTATTGTTATGTTTATATATATTCTTTATTTTTGCTCCTTATTTCAGGTCTGTTCTTTTTAAGTAAAAGTACCAATACAACAATGAGAAAAAAACTCCACCAGCAAAATTGCTTTAAAGCATCAAAAGTATTCATTTTACTGTTGTAGCTAGTCCTGGTGCTGCTAGTTTTAACTTCTTTATTTACTGTTTTTTACTGTTCTTTAGTCCAGTGATTTCCAACCTAGGGGTCGGGCCCCCAGAAAAGGGCCACAAGATAACTGAGGGGTCAGATGATTGATTAATAGGATAGAAATAATACTGTATAATTTTACCTCTTCAAACTGTTAAACATAAACCACTGTGTAAATGTAAATCACTCTTCACAGTACAATGTCTTGTATTATAAAAGCTCATCAAAGTTTTCTAAACCGAATTATATATATATATATATATATATATATATATATATATAATAACTATAGTTGTCAGATAAATGTAGTGAAGTGAAAAATAATACAATTTATCCCTTACAATATTGGATTTAATGTATAAAGTAGCATCAAAAATGACTTAAGTTCTTGAGTAAATATACTCATATATACTTGAATATACATTTTCCACCATTGGTCTTTTATATGTTATTTAACTGGTTGGCTTAACTCGTAATACAATTGTAGATCTGCTCACTGTGAACAAACTCAGCAGCAGCTGCCTGGTTGGCACTAACCTCTGAAAACCACAATTGTGCCGTTCCTCAGCGTAGTGACTCCGCTGACAGGCCGCCCACTACACAGATTTGTATCGTTGTTGTCATCTGGGAAAAAGGACATATTTGTGAGGAAACCATCTGTTTGAATAAACAAGCAATAATAGAAGAAAAAAAAAAAACCTGCAATCACAGCCTGTGTTAAATGTAATGTTGTGCTCCAGGAGCTACAAGGACTTTCCCTGCTTTGTGAACTTTTCTTTCCATTCTTTAAAGATTTATGTCCAATTTCAAAGGACTGTTTCATTTATATTGTGGGAAAGCAGCCACCTCTGTCATTTAATATAGTGTAGCTACGCTTTGAAGGAGGACTCTGTTGACCCACAGGCGCAATGAAAAAACAACCAAGCTTATAAAGCAGGCTTCGAGTAGAAATAAATATGTACTAGGAACTAAAGGCCTCCATTTTTTTCAACAGTGTTAGACCCGTGTAAAATAAATCCTTTATTAGCAGGAGCTGCAGGTAGGAAATGTCTTCTCTCAGAGTCTCAGAATTAACCTTTAAGGCAATTCATTTTCTTACCTTGAGTTGAGAATCAGATCCAATGATAAAAACCTTCTTACCTGCTTGGTAGTTTCTGGGATCGTCTATGTTGAGAGTCTGTGACGTGTCCAGAGGCTTGGTCTCAGGCTTGGTCTCAGGCTTGGTCTCAGGCTTGGTCTCAGGCTTGGTCTCAGGCTTGGTCTCAGGCTTGGAGCTGGGTTCAGCCACAGTTGGTATAGCTGGCAACGGTTTATCTTGAGGTTTTGTGGTGGCTTCAGATTGTGTGGGTTTGGTCGGGTTTGGGGTGACGTTTAGTGGATCTGCACTACTTACTTCTGGTGCAACATCATCTATATTGTCATCCCGCACTGTATCTGTGGATGTAGGGATGTGGGTCGTCAAGGCATCGAGCTCTGACAGGTTCCCGGACCCCGCTGGAGAAACACTGGCGGAAGGATCTTCAAGGTCTCCCAGAGAAGAAGGAGGGCCTGTTATGACATTTTGCGCGTTGATCTCAGCATCATCCAGTTTGGGATTTGAAGTTGTGGGCACTGATGAGGTGGGGATGGTGGTGACCTGAGAGTTTGCCAGGGTTGTGGAGGAGCCTGTGGATACTGAAGTGTCCACAGGTGGGTAGGAGGTTGTGGTTGTAACTTCTGGTTTATCAGAGGAGGCTACAGTCGGTTCTATAGTCTGTATCTCAGGAACAATGTCATCCTCGGGCTGTACTTCTGCCTTCTCGAGCTCTGGGGTGTTGGCTGTGGGAGAATATTCTGTTTGGGGTACTGAGGTTGCAGCAGGCTGGCTGGAGATGTCGTCAACTGCTGTTGTGGGCGGAGGGAGAGTTGTTCCTGAGTCAGGTGAGCTTGTAGGATCATCTGGAGGAGGAAAAACATCATATAAACTCTTACATTTACATTTAAATTGAATGTACTCAAGGGTAGGCACAAGTATGTTCTTTAGAAAATGAATAACAGCATGTACAGATGGGTGGCAAAGTAAAGGAAAAACCTGAATAAAAGAGTAGATAACATACATGTAACAAATGCAGATGCTTTTATACACTGAATGGTCTAATAACTGATGGTCCCTCCACACAAAAGAAATATTTAAGCATATTATTTGCACAGTGTGACAAGTATAAGACATATGCCACTGGATCACACACCTAAGCTCTCAGTGGTGGGGTAAAGGGTGGAGGGGCTGTCATTGGCCTGTGTTGTTTCATCTAGACGAGTCGTCTCTGTACTGAACTCTGGATCCTGTGTGGGTTCAATATCCATTTGATCCAGCAGGTCAGATGTAGACAATTCATATCCACTGGTACCCTCTGGGGTTGGAGTTGCCTCCGGGTCCTCCCCTCCATTGTAGGAAACGTCATCATTGGGAAAAATCTGGCTGTACATATCTAGAGGAATGTGAAAGTGAGAAAAGATGTGTGTCACACTCATGAAACTTTACTGGGGAAAATAAATGCTTCACTTCATTTATTATCCATGCACATCACTGCCCACCATCACTGACAGCTTCTTGAGGATATGAGGTTGGACTGACCAGTGGAATTAAATAGTCATTTGTGGGCAAAAAAGCCAGAATTAAATAATATAAATCAGGGGCGTAGCAAGATGCAAAGCGGGGGAATGCTCCAGGGAGATATTTTTCCCATTTACAGCAGCTATGGGCACTATTTTTCAAGCCATTTGAAATAAAAGAATACATAAATTCTGTACATAATTTGGGAAAAACATGATAGTATACATCCTATATTGTATTTATTTGTTATGTCTTAATCATTCTGAAACCAGAACACAACAAATGTTGAGGATGACTAATATACTTGGCATTGTTTATTAAATGTTTTTAATCAACACTTCTTATTTTCCTGCCTTTGTTTTCTTTATCATGCACTGTGACATTCCAGACGGAAATGTCACAACACGTCTTCCTCCTAAGAGAGAAGTAACAAGGATGCAAGAGTATTTCCACCAACAAAACTATTCCCAGCCATTTACTGAATTAAAACCTCCAAGAAAATGTTCTGTCATCCTTTCTTGGCTTCATTTGGTACTTTCCTCTCTTGTGACTGAGCCTGTGCCCATAACCCTCCTACATACTCTTGACAACACTGCTTCCTTGTGTATCTTTTGGCCAGCGAGGCTTGTGCACTTGGCTTGTTCTGGTGAGAATTGGCACCCAAAGAAAACCGCAGCAAGCATCCACAGTGTGGCAGTCAACCATAGACATCTTCCTGCCGTCTTCCTGACATATGCCTTATTACATCCACTGAGTTCGGCTCATAATTATCTTTGAAGTATTATAAAACAAATGACTTAAAGAGTCAGTTTAGAAAGCATTGGTTTCTGTCACTGGAATCAAGTGGCAGTTTAAGATGTGTGTAAAGTTTTGTACAACTTCCTTGAGTACATTTCAAAACACGTATTCACCTGCATCGTCTCCCTCGCTGAATGTAGAAGGCTGCTCTGTTGCTTCATTCTGAATGGGCTCTGTGGGAATATTCATGAATAGAGGTTAAAGGGTAAAAAACTAATTATTCTTAAATCCCAAATTACTGAAAATGTAAAAAAAAAATATAATCTTTGCCAAGTCAGATATACCTTTGGGTTTTTTATCATTTACATTATGGCATGAATTAGTCTTCACTGGTGCTGTAGCACTGGGTGCTCCATTGATTTCTTCTGTTGTATGTACCAAGACAGAAAATATTGTCAAATTTATCCCAATGCATCAATGCAGATTACTGCATGCATTGCATGCTACTCCACATGCTGGTGGACATGCATATTTATAACGTCAAAAATAATGTTAACTCCTTTGCACTTCATGCACGTGTACTGATCTCAGATGAGGGCTGACTTGAACTTGCAGCCATGCAGTCAAATGACTATCACTGTATTTGCTGGTCATGTAGCAAATGACAGTCAAATTTTAAAAGACGACCCCAAAGATGTACAAGCACTTTTAGGGATCAGAACATCAAATATCACGGTGATACTACTGAGTATGAAACTGTGACGTAAATCTGTTAACATGCAGAAAATAAGGCACACACACACAATCATGCTGAATTTGTCGGACAAGCCTTACCTTCTGCATCACAGTGGCTCTTGTAATCTGAACAACACTGATTGTACTTTATGCAGTTTGAGTCGCAGCTACACAGCCGACCTCTTTTGAAGTTTTCTCCACATCGTCCTTTACACGAGTTTGCTGTTGCACACAAACACAGCAGACTTAAGCAAAACAGGCCTGCACAATAAGACTACTCAGTACTGATTATATTTGATTTATATAATTATTTTTGTAATTATTTTGTTTGAAATATTCAGACAATATATGAAATGTTGCTCTCAGCACTGATGGGGGTTGGTAAAATAATCACTGCAGACTTGGAAAATCTGTGATAAACTGACATAAAATAATGTTTGATGAGTGTAAAAACTGTGATTAGTAACACAAAATGTTTAGGTATCGGTTTTCTGTTAGTATAGCAGTACTACATAGCAGTTTTTAAATCCTATTATATTCTCAAGCACTTTTGCCAAAATGTTTCTAAAATTCAAGGTATAATTATTATATAAAAAATATATATAAAATAAATTTTGTGCTTTATAAATAAAACTGCCTTGCCATAATAGTGACAGACTGATACGTATATCAGAAGAGAAAAGTCTCACCTGTGGTGCACTGGGATTCATAGTCTCTGCAGCACTCTTCATAAGACAGGCAGGTATAATCACACTGGCACATGTAACCCCTGTAGTACTCGGCACCACATCGTCCTTTACAGCTTGCTGTTTATGAGAAAGAGTACACAGTGACAGAAAGAAATGTCAGAGAAAGACATACTATGTGGATAATAAGATGGCATCTGTGGCTTTAAAATGGATCATTATTATCTCCAACAACACAGTCTACTTCAGGACATAGTCTGTAAATAATACAACTGTGCCAGGAATTGATTTCTGTACTGGCAAATACAGATACATATGTTACCCCTCTGGTAAATAATTATCAACAGAGTAAACATGAATGAGTACAAGCACAGAAAGCACATGATACATTCCAGGAAAGCCCTTAAATACATTTCAGTTTCTCTGTTGAATACAAATGTCACATAAATTATACTCACCCTGAGCAGCACTTAATGTGAAGGAACAAGCCAGAAAAATAACAGCACAAAGTACAGCAGAAGACATCTTTCTGTAAATCTGAAACTAAGCAGACACACACAGACAATACATCCATCAGATTCCTCTTGTGTCAGGAGTTCGTTTATGTTCATAACTGAGAGATAAAAGAGGAAATAAAAAGTGACCTACCTTATTCGAGCCTCTGTCAGAATCCTGCCTGAAGGTTCGACTCGGCTGCTTTTAAAAGGCTGAAAGAGAGACCGGCTGACTTCCTGTTAATTGACAGATCCGGTCTAATTAAAAGTGGTGATCTCACAGGCTGTAAGGGAGGATCCCCCAGTCCTTCCAGACCATAGGTCTAGACATCATGAGTCCCCACAAACAGCTGGAAGCACATCAACACACTTCTGTGCCAGACAGACGACTGACTTCACACACCTCTGAGCAAAAGAATAAAAAAAAGTGTTTGTGACTACCATATGGACGGACAAATAACTCAGCGGAGCGAAAGCCAAGTAGTTTCTGTAACTTCACAGTCGGCAGGGTGTTTCATAGTTTAGTCTTTAAGGACGGATGTTTGTTGTAGGCTACCTTGTATGGTTACCTGGTATTAGAGTCACATGGCCTCAGTTTATCCCTCTGATGTTTATCATCATGTATCATTGTATGTTATGGTTATATGTGATAATACGTGAGAAAATAGTAAAAGTCTTGCATTCAAAATTTCACCCCTAATGAAAATGGACTTTAAGTATCAAGAGTAAAAGTATTCGTTAGTTAATAATAGTTAATAGTTAATATCATATTATCATATTAATGGATTATTCTTAATCCAGCAGTACTTTTTGTACTGCTGTATAAACTCTTGTTTTATAAACTGATCATAGCTTTTTATGTGTAAAATCTTAATCTGAAAATTTGTTATGAAATAAATATAAGTTAAAAATGTAATGAAGGACAAACTTGGGCTATTGGCCGTAACTATATTTGAGGTTTCTGTCCACAAACAAATATTTTCCATTATGGTATGTAGTCAGTGAGTTAACATGAATTTAAGTAAACTGTTTACTGTACGGTGACCTTATTGCAGTGTGGCCTTCAGGGACCTTATGTCAACCTGTTTGATGGCCCTGTTTGTCTCTGTATATATTCACCACTGCAGCAGTTTACAGTTATTGTTGTGTGAACATTAGTCTGATAAAATCCTGTTTTATTCTCTTCTGAAAATATGGATGTAGCTACAAACCAATATAATGTTTTTAAAACCATTATTACTTTTCCTGTCTGTTTGTATGTTTGGTGTTCAAGGCTGAAAACAACTATAAGCTTGTTTTAGAAGTGTAACTATAATGTGACTCCTTAAAACAAGCTATGTTTTACCCCTCATCTGTTTGCATATGTTCACATGATGTGACCATTTCAGGTTTTATTCTTTTTTGAATACTTTTTAAAGGTCTGCAAATGGTAATATTGTCCATGAATTCATAGGACAAAAACAAAGATTAGAAGATAGCCAACAAATGAATCGCATAAAATATAATGCTTTTGTTTACATTTTAAACATCTTATTATTGGATTTATCCAGCAAACCCTCTCTAAACCCCCTCTATCTATCTATCTATCTATCTATCTATCTATCTATCTATCTATCTATCTATCGATCTATCTATCTATCTAGTTTTTCACATGTAAATTAACTACATTTGGCTGTGATTCCCCTCTACAGAATCACTGTAGATTTTTTTTAATTATAATAAAACAACAGGCAGGATCCTTCTCACTATGCCAGACTGATTACTGTGCTGATGTATTTTTATGTTTTAGGGCTGGTCTGCACTATGGGAATCTTGTGGTTGGAAGTGCTGATGGACCACATCACGCATGTGGTATTTTCCAATCATGTCATGATCCAATTAGAGGTAAAGCGCTCATTAGTGCACTTGTGTCAAGGCAATAATGACAACAGGATCTGGTTGAAATGACTTTGGTAAACACAGACACTAAGCGAAATGTCTTCACAACAATTCCCCCACTATGAAAAGAGGAAGTACCAAGCCCCTGACATCTTAATTTGAAAAGCACTGACTGAGAGTCAACTCTAGCCACAGAGATAAGTTAAGTGGGTCAAGTTGAAGTTTAGAGTTGAATCTGTGCGCCCCCTTGTGTTTACAAGCTTGTCTAAGTTTAATTCTGCTCTGCAATAGTTTGACATCTCAAGAGAAAAGAGTTTCTGCACATGGGTTCAACTTTTATCTGTAAAGCTTGTCGTCCTAATTAAAGTTTGACAATTAAAAGTTTTGCAGTGTGGAAGCTGTCTTCTCTTTGTAGACTGTTGCCTCTGTGGCTTCCTGTGCCTGCTAGGCCCTTCAGTGTGTGCAAACACTGCTCTCTAGTTGAGACTATTTAGAAACTGAACCTGCTGTGACGTACCACAGAGGAGGAGATGGCAGGTTTAAGATTAGAGAAACCAGCGTGTGGTCCATCTGGATGAGGAGTGAATGAATCACTGACATTGTGTTTATTCCCTGATGCTTCAGTGGTGCAACTCTCAGGTAAAATGTGTGTAAAAAACAAAGCTCAGGTGTAGTCATGAACCTTTTTCGGGGGTAGCTTTTCCCTCAATCTGTGAAATCAAGTATGCAAATAGATCACAAAACACAAACATTCATGTTACATAATAAATATATCTACATGCCACTTTCTCTCTCATCATATTTCAGTAATTTCTTCAATCTTAATCCACTAATTTATCCTGGACGCCTCACCATACTTTCCTTTATGAATTATATTGTGCAAATAACGCGCCTCTTTTCTATATTTTTATTTCAGCTGATAAGAGACATAGAAATGTCTCTTATTTTGCTTTAGTTTGTTTTATATTTTTCTTAATTCATGTTTTTCCCAATTATTTATTTATTAATTTAGGGGTTGGACCAATGGCTTCTTGATCTTCCCTGTAACATCTGTTTTACTTGTATGTACATCATACTTTGAATTAATAAAACCTTCAAGAAAATGTAACCAGACAATGCAATCCATTGTAGCAATGGACAATATCAGCATTTTGCTTTAATTTGCATGTTAAACAAAGCATACAATAAGTAATGCATACTGTACCCTGGGTGTCAAGTTTGATCTTCATAGAATTCCTACTTAAATGGGAGCGCTGTGACTGTCTGTCCATCTCTTTGCCCTGATGGTTCAAAGACATGAGCAGCAGTATCCCAACAGGCCAACAGGCCCACAGAGGGACAGCCAGCAAACAACAGTAATATCACTGCGACAAGGCACAAAGCACTTATTATCACAGATGGATGTCGTACACACTGGATCTCCAGGGGGGGATGAGAGGACCGCTGAGGGGAGAGTCAGCTTCTTTTTCTGGATCCAAAAACTGTGACGGTGCTTTGTGAGCAGCGGAGGCCATCTTCTGTCTTGGCAGCTTTAATCAGCCAGCCTGTTCAAGCAGGAGTTAAGCTGAATTGAAAGAGCCTCGATGAGAGGCTGAAACAGAGAGACCCACAGGGGGAGAGGTGATGCAGAGCATGTGGGTGTATACACTGCGTCTCATTCAAGTTCTGCTCTTGCCATCTTCAAGTTCAGTGACTGTCTGATTAGGTGCAAAATGTTTCTGCAAAACGGAATAAGTTCAAAACAGGAAATAACACAAGAGACTTAGCCTGCTATTATCATAGGACAAGCACAGCAATTTGTCTATTAGACTTCCTGTGTCTTTGTTTGATTTACATTCAAATCTATAGACATTTGTACTAAACATACTTAATTAGGCAGTCAGAAGAAGATCAGGTAGCTATGGAATGACGTCGCCAGAGAATCCCCTTCATCTGGCGCCTACAGAGATGAAATAATGAAAATGCCTGTCACAATATATGAGTTTACAGGGGATTGATATGGTGAATGAAACATGATCAGAAAGGACCTTTAGAGGGAGACAAATGAGAGCGTATGAGGCTGGTGTCTGAGGCAACACTCAGGCAGGATAAGAATAGGAACACCAACAGGTGGCAGGGACTGATGATACGTAATTAAATTCGACAGCTCATTTCATTTTATTTGGTGGATTTTTTTTCACCGTGGATCAAAGGCTCAAAAGATTATGCTCCGTTTCACTTGTGCATGCAGATGGAAGCAGGGGGGACCCTGTTTACAGAAAGATAGGGTTTGTGTATAACCACACAGCTCTAATGTCACCCTCCTGCATGTCATCTTACACTTAACATATGGAAGAGAAACACTCTACAAGATCTAAATCTTGTTTTATTTACACAGATATATTAGATAAGACATCTTGCCACGTGACTTTGTGGTAAAATGTTCTCTTCCTGGCTGAAGCTCAATTTAAGTCTGGAGGTGGAAGTGATAAACCATCTCAGGTTCTACACAGGAAACGTACACTAACTATAACCTTGTGCTGTGCTATTTCACTGTCTTTGACATTATGTTCCACTGCACCCCGTATTGATTTTAATATTGAATCACTAAGCAGCACGTCAAGCATCAACACTTCCAGCAGAGGCCTCTCACTGCTCATGTCTTTGATGTGTAACAGCACCTGAGAGGACATGTGAAGCTGAAGCAATGAGTCATAACAGCTGTGCTTGTGGCAGGGCTTTCGGTGTCAACCAAGACACCAGCTGCATGTACTTCTAGCAGAAAATGGCCACATTTATAGATTTCAAATAACATTGAAACCTAGTGAGTAGCTATTGTTTAGTATAGGATATAAGCAGGTATATACCCACTTCTAAATCCCCTCTTATGTGCATCATTTTTTTCTTAGAATGGAAAAGGCATAGACTTAGTTGTCCAATTTTCATGAGTGGATCGAGTAAGGAATAAGCAATTGCATCATTATGTAGCTGTCTGGACCGCCTGCGGGCAAGTATCGATTGCAAAATCTGCACCTTTTCTGTAGCTGTTGGTAATTTTATAATGATCCTCACTCTCTGAGGTCAAACAGCGGAAGTTAGGAGACAGTGTGCAAACACACCACCGGCCCATTGTTGGGTGAACTAAATATGCAGGAGTAGTCTTACATGACATTACAGACTTACTTACAGCTGCTGCAACCTCGGTATAAAGAGACGAGTTGTGAGTTTTTGCACAGATATTCAGCGACAACCACTTTATCTCAATCCACTATCTGGTTGTGGGTTGTGAGAACCTAATACAACAAAGTGGATATTTAAATGAATACAAAATTGCCTAAAACACAACTGTCCAGTTATAGAGGCTTGCCTTCATTTGATCTTACCTTTATCATCTAGTAGTCTTTATCCACTGCTCCATTTTCATTTATTCTGGGGACTTTCACTGAGGAGTGACGCTCTCTTTCTCAGTAAACAACCTGATCACATTCTCACCAGGAAGCTGCCCAGTACACCCATAGTCTGATCCAGATTGAT